AGTTACGAGCAGGTGCTAGAGTCTGCTACAGTGGTGGAGAGGTAAGTAAAAATTCAGATTGCCAGCCCTGCATTTGAGATCTAGTAGGTCTGTGGAAGGACTGGAATCTGTATTTTTTCACAAACTCCCTCAGGTATATCTGTTGGACCTGACTCCACTGAATTCTACAAGCCCAACTTTTTCTTTTCTTTTCTTTTCTTTCTTTCTTTCTTTTTAATTGAGATAGAGTCTCACTTTGTCACCCTCAGTAGAGTGCCATGGCGTCATAGCTCACAACAACCTCAAACTCCTGGCTCAAGTGATTCTTTTGCCTCAGCCTCCCTAGTAGCTGGGACTACAGGTACCTGCCACAATGTCTGGTTATTTGTGTGTGTGTTTAGCAGGCCCGAGCCAGATTCAAACCCACCAGCTCCGGAGCATGTGGCTGGCGCCCTAATCACTGAGCTACACGCCCCCCCCCCAACCAACTTTTTCATTTCTGCCTAGAAATTCTAGTGTCTGTTATCTGCTAAGTGGCCAGGGCTAGACTAATACCATAGGCATTGAGGAAATCATACCCATATCTCTCCCATGAGTACATCAATATGAAACAATACTAAATGGCAAAAATAAGCGAAGGGAAGTCTAAAAGATCTTATTTTTCCTATGATGTGGCAGGTAGGATAATGACCCTCAAAAGGTCCATGTGCTAATCACTGGCTGCTATGAATATGTTACACGGCAAGGATGGATTGAAGTTGCAGATGGAATTAGGTTGCTAATCAGCTGACTTTGAGATGAGGAGATTATTCTAGTTATCTAGATGATTATCTAAGTGGATCCAACAGTAATCAAAAGGGTTCTTATAAAGCAAAGAGGAAGACAAGAGAGAGTCAGGAATGCAGACAGCCCATAGAAGCTGGAAAAGGCAAGAAAAGGATTCTCTTATTGGGCTTCCAGAAGGAATGCAGTGCTGCCAACCAACATCTTGATTTTAGTGCAGTGCTGACGCTTCTAACCTACAGAACTAGAAGTAATAAATTTGTGTTGTTTTAGACTATACATCTTTTTTATTTCTTTCTTTTCTTCCTTTTTTTTTTGAAACAGAATCTCATTTTCTTGCCTCAGTACAGTGCCGTGGCGTCATAGCTCACAGTAACCTCAAACTACTGGGTTCAAGTTCATGCCCGTTTTACTGACAGCTTTAGCATTTTCTGAGCTCTGGGAAAATGATGGTAAATAAGACTTCAAGTTTCCATAAAACTGGGCTAAAAGAAGTACTTGCCTCATAGGGTTACCATAAGGATTAAATAAGTAACTGAACAGAATGCACTTGGAATAACGCCAAGTACACCGTAAGTGTTCAAGAAACATGAGAAGAAATAAAAGACTGAAGAAAGCCAGGAAAGAGACAAGATCCTTGCTTTCAGGGAGCTCCTATGCTGAATATAAATGGGTGATAAAATCAGGGAAGAAGGAAAGAAAAAAGGAAATGAGGGAAGAGAGGAAGAGGGAAAAAAATAAATGAAAGTGACAAGTGCCTCAGATGTCTCTTACTTATGTTTAAGACTTTAGATTGCATTGGCAACCAGTGGGCCAAATCCAGTCTGCCACCTGTTTTCATATGGCCCATGAGCTAAGAATAGTTTTACATTTTTAAATGGTTGAACATAATCCAAAGAAGAGTAATATTTCGTGATGTGTGAATATAATATGAAGCCGGGAGTGCCACAAGGGCCTGTAGTCCCAGCTACTCAGGAAGCCAAGGTGGGAGGATCGTTTGAGCACAGGAGTTCAAGGTTGCCATGGATTATGATTGGGCTTGTGAAGAAACACTGTACTCTACCCTTGGCCACCAAGTTAAACCTTCCCCCTAAAAAAGAACAGAACAGAACAGAACCTGAAATTCTAATTTCGTATCTATAGTGTTTTACTGGCACACAGCTATGCTTCTCTGTATTGGCTCTGCTGCTTGCACACTGCAGAGTTGTGTTGTTGCTACAGAGATCCTAAGGCCCACAGAACCTAAAATATTTACTGCTTGACTCTTTACAGAAAAAGGTTGCCCTGGCTCAGTGCCAGTAGCACAGTAGTTACGGCACCAGCCACATACAACTGATGGGTTAGAACCCAGCCCCGGTCAGCTAAGCAACAATGACAACAGAAAAATAGCCAGGCGTTGTGGCGGGCGCCCTTAGTCCCAGCGACTTGGGAGACTGAGGCAAGAGAATCGCTTAAGCCCTAGAGTTGGAGGTTGCTGTGAGCTGTGATGTTACAGCACTCTACTGAGGGTGACATAGTGAGACTCTATCTCAAAAAAAAAAAAAGGAAAAGGTTGGCCATTCATGTTTTAGACTCCGTGGTTGGGGGAGCTTCCCTAAGGAGGTGACATTTAAGCTGAAACCTGAATAAAAAGAAGAAGGAAGGCTGGAGTAGGAAGGCAGAGATGTCCAGGCAGAGGCAACAGAGAACAAAGGCAGGAGCTTCTTCTCTAATCCTTCTAAAAAGAGGCTCTGTCTGAAGATATGATGGGGCCCCGATGCGCTAAGGGTGCAGCAGCCTCTCAAGGTCATAGAACCTACAGGTCCTGAGCAGGGCTGGGGAGCCGGGACTGCCTGGCTCCAGAACTTGCTGTGCTTTCTTCTCAGCTTTCTTCTCTGCCGTGCCCCTTCTCAGCTTGGCACAGCATAAGCACCGAGGAACTACATGTTCAGTGACTTTATTTACCTTCCTGGGCAATGACGGGGAATTTTAGATTCACTCTCAAGAACAGGCGAGAAGAACCACAGACTCACCTAAGGGCCTGAGAGCAAATGCTCTCTAGATACCCCAGAGGAGGCCAAGGCAGGAGCCCCATGTCCTTCACAGAGCCCTGTCCTGACTTTGATGGGAGAATTGTGGCAAAGGCAGTGGGCAGGACACAAATAAAGAGGCATAGCCCTCCATGAATCTAGCCAGGTGGGATTTCTGGTACTGGTAGAAAAGTGCTAACAAGTGTGGCCAGAGAGAACCCAGATCTCAATCCTTTGTGGGCCAGTTCATTCCTGATGGGCTGTGTGCTAAGGCAGGAGAGGAGGCCATTAGCCCCATTTTAGAGCCAGAGAAGCTAAGGCAGTGGAGCACAACAGAGCTTCTGGTGAAGAACGGAGACACTGTTTGAATCATTTGCTAGCTATGTGACTGCAGGTAGGTGGCTTGACTTCTTTGTGTTTCGGTGTGTGGATAATGACAGCATCTGCCTCAAAAATATGTAAGGAATTAAGGAAATGATAACCCAAAGCCATATTTCCAGAAAGGACACGATAAACATTGGCAGATCCTAATAACATTCTCTCAGTCAGCTTTGACAGCAGTCTTAAGAGGTCTTAAGAGTGGAGAACTCAAAAGTGTGAGACAGACAGATCTCTTCTTCACCCAATTTCTCAGACCCAAAGCTAGGAAATCATCCGTGACCCTTCTCTTGCATGCTATAATCCAGCAGCAAATCCTAGTTTTAATATGCGCCCAGAGTCCAACCCTTCCTGTTACCTCCACGACATCACCTGAATCCAAACTGCCACAGGCTCTTGCCTAGATTATTGCAAAGACTTCCTCCTAGCTGGTCTTGGGGCTTTCATCCTCGCCCTCCCACCCCGAGACAACTCTCCACAAGCAACAAAGCTCATGTTACTCCTCAATCCAAAACCTTTCTATGAACACCTAGCATGAACAAACTGCAATGACTTTTTTATTATTGAGTGTCTACTATGTGCCAGGTACTGTTCTCGGCATTGGAGATAGAATGGAAACCATTTCAAAAATCTCTGCATTTATGGAGTTTTCATTCTTGTGGATGGAGTAGGCAACAAACAAATATATTGTCATGTGGAAAAATAATTCAGGGAAGGTTGGGGTCTTGGATTTTTTTTTTTCTTGCAGTTTTTGACCGGGGCTGGGTTTGAACCTGCCACCTCCAGCATATGGGGCCAGCGCCCTACTCCTTTGAGCCACAGACATGGCCCAGGGTCTTGGATTTTAAGTAGGGTGGCCAAGGAGGCCTAACTTACAGGCAAAGGTTAAACAGAAGCCTGAAAGTAGGAGAAAGATGGGAATCTCTGAACAGAACATTCTAGATAAAAAAATCGGCAGATGCAAAGGTAGATGTGTTTTTGGGCGCAACAGGAAGCCACTGTAACTTTGTTGGAAAGTGTGCTGTGGGAAAGGGGAAGGCTTTTCATTCAGAGAAGAAAAGGAGGCAGGGGTGAATCCTGCAGGTTCTCCAGGAGACTGGAAGCCACTGGAGGTTCTGAGCAGAGGTGTGACTGGAATTCTAAAAGACCACACATGCTGGGTGTAGAAGACCATCAGGAACAATGGCAGAGTCAGGAGACTATTAAGGGAGCCGTTGCAACTGCTCAGGTGACATACTGTGGCTTGGATCAGGAAGACAGATAGCAGCAGAGGAGGTCTGTCAGACCCCAAGGCCTTTCAGTAGGGTGCCGGTCCTCCTGGTGGGGTCCCACGTAGCCCTCCAAACTCACTTTGTTCCCTCTGGTATCCCCAACCTCACAGGCCACTGCTTGGCACATAGAAGACATCTATTAAGTATTCGTTGAATCAATCAATGAGCAAATTAAAGAGGGATGATCTATCCCTAGATCAGCATTTATTTCAACCTAGGCACATAGTCAGATCTCCATAAATGTTTACAGATGGAATATTGAACAATCCCGCAAAGTCCATGTGATTATTCCTTGCTACAACTGAGGGAAAGTACAACTCAGACTGAGGAAGTGTTCCCCCTTGGGTCCCTCTGCACAGCAGAGCATCCTTCCTTCCCAAATGAAGTCCAGGGCACTGTATGGGGGGCACTTTTCCTCAGGGTGAGTCACAATGACCTCACAGGACTTTCCCCAAGAGACGTTCCCGCTCTATGGTGGGGAAAACCCAGAATCTCTTGGGACCAGATGGTCAGTAACAGAAGCCCGACACGTGCTGGAAGTGCCCAGGGTGGGGGGTGAGGGCGGAGGTGGGTGCTGCCACGCGTTTCCTCCCACCCAGGGGCCAGGGAGACTCAGGGACAGAGGCCCGCCCCCGCGCGGCCAAGGCCCCGCCCCTCTAGGCCTAGGCCCCGCCCCCCGCTCTCCCGGTTCCCTGCGCACCCGCCCCTCCAGCGGAAGCCGGAAGCAAAAGCGGGCCCTGCTAGCCCCGCGGCTCCGAACTCGGTGGTCTTGGAGGCTCCGCAGGATGGGGGAGAAGATGGCGGAAGAGGAGTGAGTGGGCTTTTCCGGGGCGGCGGAGGCGGCGGGGCTGGGCCCCGGCGGGTGACAGCGAGCGCCTCAGGCCGACCTCCGGCTCCGGAAGGCGGAGCTCCTTGTGCCAGTTGGCCAGGACTGCCCGTGCCTGTGCCTACCAGGAGGGCGGGATGGGCGGGCCTGGGCCCAGGCGGGCCCTTTATTCTCCTTAAAGTGGATCTCCTCGAACTGGGGCGCGGCCGTCCAGCGCAGGACACAAAAGAAGTCTTGCGGAACCTGCAGCCTGTATTTCCTTGTATCAGTCTTCGGTCATTGGTTGTCTGATGGTTACTGAGCGCTTCCCCGCCTATTCCAGGATGTCGCCCGCCCCACCCCCCAGCCAGTTGCCTCCTGCTTTGTAATGATCAGTTTTCATATCTCTCTCCACTACATTTCATTTAACTTTGGGCCATATAGTCAATTCCAGGCCCTTAACACGTGATAGTAAAGGGGACCAGCCAGGAGCCGCCCTCAGGGAGCTTCCATTCCTGTGGGAAAAGTAGACCATAAATAGTTTGGTTTCGGATTGTGCTCTGAAAGGAGCCCAAGGAATAGTGTTAGAGTGGGGAAGGCAAATAGTGTGCTCTGAAGGTGCAATGAAATAATGTTAGGGTGGGGAAGGCAACTCAGGAAAAAGTGACAGATGAAATTTGAATGACTAAGAGGGCTAGGAGCCATGTAAAATCAAGTTCAAAAGGCCAGAATCTATAAAGGGTTTAGTGCTTTTGAGTGACGAAAAGGCAGGATTGCTCTAGTGAGCTTGGGGTGTGTGTGTCTGTGTCCCCGAGGCACTCTGGGCAAAGACAAATGTTCTGTCCCTTTCCATACCTGCAGGGCACAGTCTTTCACGTGGCCTGTCCCTGTTTGTGGAAACAGTGAAGATTTACAAGGAACCTTTTGGTTGATACTGGGCTCCCTCACCTGATAAAATTACTTGGCCAGGTTGAGGGGGAGGGGATAATTTCATGTAGTCACCTTGTTTATTGAGTTTCTGCCTTGTCCCACCCTCTAAACTAGGCCTCAGCAATACAAAGCAATAGAGATGGTGTAGCTTAGTGATTTCAAGTTTAGGTTTGAAGCTTGATTCTGCCACTGACTTGAGATGTTGGCCAAATTATGCATCCTTTCTGTACCTGAATTATTATAGTTTAAAAAACAGTAATAGTGCCCACCTCCTGCATGTTAAGCTTGCTAAATAAGAAGTGCTGCATTAACCTAGTCCCTGCAGTGAAGCAGTATTCAGTAACTATTAACTGTTAGAATCACAGTTACAATTATTATTGTATCAACATGGCACTAGTTCATAATCCAAACACTATAAGGAGAGCTGTGGGAAGAGAAGCTGTGGGGTGGGGTATTACAGAGGAGATAATATTTAAGCTTTTTGAATTTGAGAAGGATTTTGTAGGGTGGGGCATTCTGACCCGGATCAACAACTGGGCAGATTCCAATGGTTTCTTGGATTTGAGGAAATAATCCAAAGGAAAGGATGTAAACGGAAAAATTAAGGTGCTAAGTAAACAGTGGTGGGCCCTGGAATATGATGAGACTTCAATTTGCTTTCCTTTCAATCTCCTGTTAAGTGCCAGAAAACAGGCAACATGTTTCTACAGCAGCTCTGATTCATCCTTGTTCCTGTTTTTTAAGTCGCTGTATTCAGAAGCATCAGAGGCCACTGGTAGCCCTGTGCTGTATAGGCAGTGATTTTCTTAATCAGTTTCCCTCTGAGGCCTGCCTGTCAGTTGCTAGACTTGTGAATCCCGTAAAGCTCTTTGCCAGCTTCTCTTTCTGGTTTGTGCTGTATATATTAGTACTCTGGGCCTTTTCCCCCCCTTCATCTAATTCTGCTTTTTGTATCCTCCAGTAGGTTCCCCAATACAACTCAGGAGGGTTTCAATGTCACCCTCCATACCACCCTGGCTGTCACCACAAAATTGGTGCTCCCGACCCCTGCCAAACCCATCCTCCCAGTGCAAACAGGAGAACAGGCTCAGCAAGAGGAGCAGTCAAGTGGCATGACCATCTTCTTCAGCCTCCTTGTCCTAGGTGAATATGAGAAGCCGCTGGCTGCCATCCTCTGCCATCTCGAGTGTCTGTGTGTGCCTGTGTGGTTAACCCTCTTGTTCCTTTTGGCTTTGTATTGTCGTCCTCCTCATTTGGTTTTCATTTCAAACACTGAGGGAAAATGGTCAGATCATAACGTCCCAGCAGACTACTCCTTTTTCTTTATAAAATTGTGGAGCCTGCCAATTCTGGAAGGTCCTTTAATGTAATATCTTAGACACCTTTGAAAGAAAGAATTAAAGAATTTTTGTCACAGAAAGAGTCTTGATCTAGTGGATCAAGATTAGTGGATTTCAAATTCTTATAGAGGGGAGTATGTGTGTGTGTAGGTGGCAGTGGTGGTGGGGGTCCAATAAGAGGGTGTCCAACCTCCTGACCCTAGCTTCAACCAGAGCAGAATTTTTTTATTTTTTTTGAGACAGAGTCTCAAGCTGTTGTCCTGGGTAGAATGCCATGGTGTCATAGCTCATAACAACCTCTAACTCTTGGGCTCAAGCAATCCTCTTGCCTCAGTTTTTCTATTTTTAGTAGAGACAGGGTCTCACTTTTTGCTTAGGCTGGTCTGGAACTCCTGAGCTCAAGCAATCCACCCTCCTTGGCCTTCCAGAGTGCTAGGATGAGAGGTGTGAACCGCCATGCCCTGCCAATTTTTTTTTTTTTAATTTAAGGTAAGGTCTCACTCTGTTGCCTAGGATGGAATGTGGCCTTTGCTATCAGGCCCAGCTAATTTTTCTATTCTTTTTATAGAGCTAGGCTCTTACTCTTGGTCAATCTGGTTTGGAGCTCCTGGCCTCAAGCATTCCTCTCACCTCAGCCTCCCAAAGTGCTAGGATTAGAGGTGTAAGCCACTGTGCCTGGCCTGGAGCAGCATTTTGTCTATTATGTTTATTAGGCTTGGATGTAAAATTTTATTTAATTAAAGGTTTGTCTGCTGATAAAAGCACAGAAACTTATAACCCACTTCTGTTCACTCTCTATCATTCTCCTTAATTGTGGTCATGAATTTTGCCATATCTGTGTATCACCTGTACTGTGGTTATGTATTAATGATATATTTTTTTATTTTTATATTTTAGAGACAGAGTCTCACTTTATTGCCTTTGGGAGAGTGCTGTGGCATCCCAGCTCACAGCAACCTCCAACTCCTGGGCTTAGGCGATTCTCCTGCCTCAGCATCACAAGTAGCTGGGACTACAGACGCCCACCACAACACCTGGCTATTTTTTTGTTGCAGTTTGGCCGGGGCTAGGTTTGAACCCACCACCCCCGGTATATAGGGCCAGCACCCTACCCACTGAGCCACAGGCACCGCCCGTATTAATGATATTTTTATTTAAATAGAATAACTCGAGCGGTGCACAGTGGTTACAGCGCCAACCACATACACGAAGCCTGGCAGATTGGAATCCAGCCTGGACCAGCTAAACAATAATGACAAAGGCAACAAAAGAATAGCTGGGCGTTGTGGCAGGCGCTTGTGGTCCCAGCTACTTGGGAGGCTGAGGCAAGAGAATTGCTTAAGCCCAGGAGTTGGAGGTTGCTGTGAGCTGTGATACCACAGCACTCTACCCAGGGCAACAGCTTGAGGCCCTGTCTCCAGAAAAAAAAAAAAAAAAAAATTAATGGTAGTAGCACCTCACGCCTGTAAGCCTGGTACTCTGGGAGGCTGAGGCAGGTGGATTGCCTGAGCTGAAGAGTTCAAGACCTGCCTCAGCACCCACAGCACAGTGGTTACGGCACTAGCCACATGCTCCAAGGGAGCCAAGTTCGAACCCGTTCCGGGCCAGCTGAGCAACAATGACAACTGCAACAAAATATGGCTGGGCATTATGGCGGGCACCTGTAGTTCCAGCTACCTGGAAGGCTGAGGCAAAAGAATCACTATAGCCCAAGAGTTCGAGGTTGCTGTAAACTGTGATGCCACAGCACCTTACCGAGGGTGACAAAGTGAAACTCTGCCTCAAAAAAAAAAAAAAAAATAAGACCAGCCTGAGCAAGAGTGAGACCCCTTCTCTAGGTGTTGTGGGAGCAACTGAAGCATCAAGACATCACACTCCTGGAAGGTTCTGCTGTACTGAGTCAGAATCTGGCCTGGAACGGGTTCGAACCCAGTTCCCTCGGAGCATGTGGCTAGTGCCGTAACCACTGTGCTGTGGGTGCTGAGGCAGGTCTTGAACTCTTCAGCTCAGGCAATCCATCTGCCTCAGCCTCCCAGAGTGCCAGGATTACAGGCATGAGATGCTACTACCATTAATTTTTTTTTTTTTTTCTGATCAGTGCAACTATTGGTAGTAACAGCTAGTTCATAGGGGAATTGGAGAGTAAATGGAACAGCATTTGGGACGTGTTCAGCATAGTTCCTGGCTCATGGGAGCCATCTAGCAGGGGGCACGGCAGAACACCTCTGTACCCAGCTAGGGAGCACCACTCGTCTCATATCTAGATCTCTTTGATGTTCCTATCACCAAGGTATTTACTTTCTCCGGTTTGTAAAACACCCTCACTTCCTTCTGTGTTAAAAGAGCCCATCATAGACATGGTGGCAAAATGTTTTGTGTCAACACAATCTTTTGTAGTTAGGGTTATGTAAAAGTGATTGATTTTATTGACTTCCGCCTCACCATTTAGACTAGAGTGTTTCAGTTGGTGATTACTTCAAAAAGGTTGAGGCAATCTCCGAATCAGGAAAATTTGAATAATTTTAAATGGTTGTGTAAGAGTTTAACAGCAGTTGCTTTTTCAATAACTGCTGGAAAATGAACTAGCTCAAGCATATGAAAACATATAGGGAAAATATAATAAACACTGTGAGTCTCTCTCCAGGATAAAAACATATCACAAATATAACTGAAGGCTAGATGCGGTAGCTCACACCTGTAATCCTAACACTGGGGGAGGCAGCGGGGAGGGGGGTGCCTGACCAAGAACAAGACCCCTTCTCTACTAAAAATAGAAAAAAATGGGCCAGGCTCAGTGGCTCATGCCTGTAATCCTAACACTCTGGGAGGCCAACTCGGGTGCATTGCTTGAGCTCAGGAGTTCAAGACCAGTCTGAGCAAGAGCGAGACCTCATCTCTACAAAGTAGCTGTATGAGCTATAATGCCATGGTACTCTACCAAGGGTAACAACATGAGACTATTGTCTCCCCCCCCCAAAAAAAAATAACATAATAAAAATAGAAAAGTTTCCCTGGGTATGGTGGTAAGGATCTGTAGTCCCATTTACAGAAGGTAGAGGCAGGAGGATTGCCTGAGCCAGGAGTTTGAGGTTGTAGTGAGCTGTGACCATGGCATGTACTCTAGGTAGGGCAACAGAGTGAGACTGTGTCTCTAAATAAATAATACAACTGAAGTTCAATGTGTCACTGCCAATTGTCCATTTTCTGACAGCCCCCCAATAATAACCAGTGCCTTGAACTTGGTGTTTATCATTCAGAACTGGGCTTTTCTCTATTTTAACAAGGTGTTATTTTTTCTCACAGCTATTTGTATCATATTGGTGCATTTACTGATCCGATACAGATTACATTTCTTGCCAGAGAGCGTTGCTGTTGTTTCTTTAGGTAAGTACGTACTGGTGATCCCATAATGAAAGCAGTAACAATAACTACCAGTTTTTGAGTGCCTCTTTAGTGCCAGTAACATCCATAAGGATGTTATGATCCCATTTTACAGATGAGAACACTGAAGATGCCGAGAAGGGTGATGACTCCTAAAAGTCATGTAAAAGTCCATCTGTATAGCTCAAAGGCACTTTCTAGGGCCTTGTACCTCTGGTACAGTTACCTTTGGGGCACAGTGACCTCTGTCTGCTATGAGGCTAGGCTGACATACAGTGCAACTAAGGCAAGTAATTGACACTTAATTCACAGAATCACTAAATTTTATAGAAAGAAGGGACTCTGACTTTACAGTTGAGGAAGGAGAAATGGTTCACTTAATGTCAGAGTCAGATCTAAAGTCTTCAGAGAGCATCCTATTCTACCCCACTTAGATTTATATTTTTCTTTTGTTTGTTGTGACAATTACCTGTTAAGATAATTAGCTTACCTCCAGTGGAGGTGCTGGAGTCAGTGTAGTAACAGGTGTGAATGCCCAAGCAGGTTCATTGAAGGGGTTAGCAAAAAAAGAAGCCAGGACATTTCAGTTAAGTATCAAATTCAAGGCTAAAATGTGGGTGAGATGCTTAAGGCACAGTAAATAAAGTTTTATTAAAATCGGTCAAAGCTTTAATCAGTTTATTATAGTGTAGTTACTTTTGCTAGTTTCCACTTGCCTGTTTTAATTTTTTCCTGATGATCACCGATGCTTTACAGCAGCAGTTTGTGACCCACAGGAACTGTATTAAAGGGCCACGGCATGAGGAAGGTTGAGAACCACTGCTTTACAAGTTAATTTTCTTTGCCTTGTAGATATTGTTTAGTGATGAAGTAACTCTTTCCCAATATAGCTGTGGTTTAGGTTAGCTCTGGAAATGAACATCCAGACTCTGTTCCCTAGCATCCCCTTTCCCTGTCATTACCGTCTGCATTCCTGCTGTCCTGGTTCAGATCCTATGTTTTCCCTGTACTTCATAGCACTACTAAGTGCCAGATTCTGCCCTATGGATTTTCACATTGCCACCTCATTTAAGCCTCACAACCTCCAGGTGATGCCTTATTTTAAGGAGCACTGCTGGATATTACTGATCTTCAGTACAGAGTTGGAAACCAGTTTTGCTCAGAGTGCCTGTTCACTTCTTAGTAGCTTCTTTAGCTAAATATCTTGGCAGATTCTAACAACCTTAACTAACAAGATAGTCTTAGAGCTCTAAGAATGGGAGGCTCGCTCATTAACATTCCTTTCTGCTATTGGGCATAAAAATAACCTACATAGCTAATACTCATTATTCTGGGACATTTAGTATAAGGCTTGAAAAACCACTCCAAGGAATTTGAAGTTTCATGGTTTCTTAAGAATGAAAATTCTAATTGGTGTGTATTTATGTATTACACACATGAAAATTACTGATTTGATTTCTGTTGTTAAGTTCTTCACTGTCTCTTAAATGTTTGGGTAACTGCAGCTTCAGCGCTTTTATTAGGACTTACAGCCTTATACAAGCTCAGTACCCTTGGTTCCCTCCCGAAGAGTCATTTCCCTCTTTTTCCCAGGAAATAGAACCCTTATTTTGATCACGTGTCTTGCCACAGTGCACTCTATGCAGTCCCTCCAAGTTCAGGTTGTCCTTGCCATCATGTAAGTGCACTCTCTTTTGCCCGTGATTGGTTGAGAGGGGTGGGGACAGTGAGGTAGTATCTGGCCAGTGACACCAAGGGGAAGTGTACTGGGGCCATGGGTCCTGGAAAATGTTTTCCTCTATGATAAAAACAAAATAAATTTCTTCTTTCTCCTGTTGATGCTGCTGGATGAGGTTGTGATGCTTGGTGCACTGGTAGCCATCTTGCAACCACTAAGGCTCAAAGACAAAAGCTGGAATGCTAAGGATTGCCAAGGGGAACAATGGGAGGCCCAAATTCTTAATTACATTGGGTTGAAGGGATGGTCCTGGAGTTACCTTTCTCAGTGCGGCCTCTTATATAAGAAAATAAACATCTGTTGTTTAAGGTAGTGCAAGCTTTGGCCTTAGCTGGATCAAGTTTCTTGGACTCAGTTCTTCTCTATTCCTCAACAGTGCTTTCCCATTTTCTGGCTTCACTCTTAGGCAGGCTCTGTATGTGTGGTAAGCCCTTAGAGCAGCAGTTGCAGTGGGGAAGAGGCCCTCCTCTCTTTGGCACCAGAAGTTGTAACATGAACTCTGACCATGTGGCCTTACCAGAATTGAGGATAGGCGGAATGGTGCTGGAGGCCAGCCAGAGTGTAGCCTGTACAACCAGGTCTTGGGAGAGGTGATAGAAAATGACTCTTGCATTTAATACTTAATTGCTAACTCAGGTGATTGGAAAGCTGAGAGCACTTCCAGGGAAAGAGTGCTGGTTAGAGGACATTTGGTTAGAATTTGCAAATGCTGGGTAGCACCTGTGCCTCAGTGAGTAGGGTGCCGGCCCCATATACCCAGGGTGATGGGTTCGAACCCAGCCCCAGCCAAACTGCAACAAAAAATAACCAGGCGTTGTGGGGGGTGCCTGTAGTCCCAACAACTTGGGAGTCTGAGGTAGGAGAATCACCTAAGCCCAAGAACTGGAGGTGTGACGCCATGGCACTCTACCGAGGGTGACAAAGTGAGACTCTGTCTCTTAAAAAAAAAAATGCTAATGCTAACAAAGCTATCGAAATAATTCTGTATTTCATAAAGCTACAGAATTGAAGGAAAACTTTTTTCTCCAGCTAGAGCAAAGTGTTACAGAATATTGGGATATCCACTATTTCAAGAGTTTCCAACTTTTATGCCAAAAAAGAACCCAGGTGAAGCTGTGAGAGAAAGTAGGATTTTCATTCTTTAAGGGGTAAATTTTCCTATCCTTTCTCTTTTAGCTAGAAGTTGGGCGACAATCATTTAGAGACATTATTGGCAAGGCTGGAGCATAGTGGCTAATACCTGTAATCTTAGCACTCTGGGAGTCTGAGGCGAGTGGATAGCTTGAGCTTAGGAGTTCAAGACCAGCCAGAGCAAAGAGAGACCTCTGTCTCTACTAAAAATAGCAAAACTAGCCCGTATTGTGACAGGTACCTATAGTCCCAGCTACTCGGAAGGCTGAGGCAAGAGGATTGCTTGAGCCCAAGAGTTTGAAGTTGCTCAGAGTTATGCCATGGCACTCCTCTAAGAACGACACAATGAGACTCTGTCTCCACTGCCCCCCCCCAAAACATTTTCTTTTCTTTCAGCCAGTTAAACAACTACTATAAATATGAAAAATCCTATTCATTGGCAACTCCAACTGTTTTTATCATGCTTTATTCTCTTCCAAACCATGTGTAGGCACATACGTATGTATTAGATGATTTTATGTCTAATTCAAGTTTATGTCATTTTTTGTTCTTTCTATTTATTAGTTAAGTTCACATATTTCTTTTTATGGCTGTTTATATATTTGGGGCTAAAATTTTTAAGGAATGAAAATGAAAATACGTGTAATAGTATTGTCCATTAGCTTTTGTTGTGTGTATCAAAAACAGGACCCCACCCCCCAATCACACATTATTTTAGAGTGAGAAAAGGCCAAATGGGGAATTTGACTTTCAAATGCCAAAGTTTAGCCATAATGGTGCTGTTAGAAAAACCATGTTTCAACTTGTAAGCTAGAGTCAATTGAATCGTTGAGTAAATAGAGCACAAAGGGCTCCCTTGTCATAACCTTCTTAACCATGTTTGTGCTTTTAATTACATTAATTCCTTCTTGTTTTAAGAATAGTGCTTTTGGGCAGCACCTGTGGCTCAGTGGGTAGAGTGCCAGCCCCGTACACACCAAGGGTGGTAGGTTCGAACCTGGCCCCACCAAACTGCAACAAAAAAATAGCTGGGCATTGTGGCGGGCACCTGTAGTCCCAGCTACTTGGGAGGCTGAAGCAAGAGAATCACCTAAGCCCAAGAGTTGGAGGTTACTGTGAGCTGTGACGCCATAGCACTCTACCAAGGGCAACAAAGTGAGACTCTGTCTCTTAAGGCAAAAAAAAAAAAAGAAGAATGCTTTCCCAGGCATGGTGGCTCATGCCAATAATTCCATCTACTAGGGAGGCTGAGGTGAGAGGATCTCTCGAGGCCAGGAGCTCAAGACCAACCTGGGCAACATAGGAGTCTCTCCATCTCTTGAAAACAGATAAAACAAATAATGTTCTTGACTGGGGGTGTGGAGGCTCACACCTGTAACCTTAGCACTCTGGGAGGCCAAGGTGGAAGGATCACTTTAGTCCAGGAGTTTGAGGTTGCTATGAGCTAGGCAGATACCACAGCATTCTAGCCTGGGTAATGGAGTAAGACTGTCTCAAAAAAGAAAACCAAAAGTAGAATTAATACTTTTTTGTCGGCTCGGCGCCTGTGGCTCAAGCGGCTAAGGCGCCAGCCACATACACCTAAGGTGGCGGGTTCGAATCCCCAGCCCGGGCCCGCCAAACAAC